TGAAAGACCACAAAGTGTGTCAACAAAAGCAAAAAAGCAGCTTACTGCATTAAACCTGACCTTGACAGAGAGGTTGCAGTTCATGTGGAGAGGAGGCTTCAGTAATCTGTCTGTTTTATCTTTTGGGAACAATGCCTAAATCAAATACTACTTTCTAATGGTTTCTTTTTCTAATAAACCCTGCATTGTGTTGGTCACACAATTCATTTTCTTGTGCTTTGTTCTATCTGAATTATGATAAGGAGTTATCACAAGCTGTTTAGTTATGCTATCTTACAATACATACTGTAGTAAATGTGAGGTAAAGTGTGTCGCCAATGTAACCGGTTAGAACTCAAAGTGGCGATGAGGTCTTAAAATGTATAGAAAGGGTCTTAAAAAAGGTCTTAAAAGGTATTACATTTGACTTCAGGATTCCTGCATATACCCTGTATTTGTTTTTGTCAAAAAGTACCTATTAATTTAGGGGAGTAAATATCAAACGCTTAGAGAAGTAATGGAGTAGAGATTACGGTACTGCACATTGGAATAAATGATGTTGTGAAACAACAGTCAGAAGTGCTGAAAGAAGACTTTAAAACTTGGAAACTGTCAGCTCTCTAAATGCGGAAGTGTTCATCAGTGGCCCTCTACCGCCAGTCAGAAGAGGAGTGGAGAGATTCAGCAGATTGTTTGCACTGAATACTTGGCTTTCAACTGCCTGTACTGACCATTCTGTCCATTTCATTGACAATTTTAACTTTTTCTGGGACCGCAGAGATCTTTTTAAGGCAGATGGAGTTTGCCTGAACAAGTCAGGAGAGAAATTGTTTATCTCTAACATATTCAACTGCCTGCGTAATCTTTCTGTTAGCTTTGCCAAGGACAAGCAACAAGAGGAATCAAAACAAGAGAAAGACACAACACATCGCTAAGAAAACCTTGAAGATGTATCACTGCACCCGCCTGAGGAATGTCTTGATTATGGGAAACCTATGAGACAAATGGAGGAGTTTCCACCGCCCCTATCACCTTTGAGGATACTGTTCCTTCACCCCACAGCTCTCTCTACTCACCCTCGCCCACCCTCCTGGAGATCGCTGAACACATGAAGGAGATACAGGATGGCACCAATTCCTTCCTGGAGTTCAATGACCGCATTAAGGCGATACACAGGGTTGGCAGCATGTCCTTTACCCCCGCCCCTCAACAACGCCCACAGAGACCCGCACCATCTCCCCCGTCTTCATCACCGTGCCTACCTCAACCACCTCCCCCCCTTCAAGACACCATCTGCGGTCACCGAAGCCTGATAAGAATGTGTGTGTACAAAACGCAGCAAACTCTTACTGATATGTGCTGGGTCCAGGCTCAAGGGCGTATGGCACTCTCAACTCTTTCCAGGACATGCCGGGGCCCTGCCTACCAGTAGCCATCAGCTTAGAAACAGGAAGCGCTCAAACGTTTGTGTGAGTTCATCAAATTTAGCAGTGACTCCATGTCAGCCACAGCTTGTCACAACAAATCTGACTGATAGTGTATTTAACAAACTTAAACTAGCTTTATTAAATGTTAGGTCATTGGCAGAAAAAACGTTTTTAATCAATTATTTTATCACTGAGCACAATCTTGATATTATGTTTTTAACGGAAACTTGGATTGAACAAAATAACAGTGCAGTTGTTCTTATCAAATCAACCCCTCCCAACTTTAGTTTTATGAGTCAGGAAATAATGCATAAGAGAGGAGGTGGAGTTGCTATTTTGTTCAATGATTCCATTCAATGCAGGAAGACATCTTATGGGAACTTTGCTTCTTTTGAATATGTGGCCCTTCAGCTGAAATGCTCCTCTCGAGCTCTGTTCCTAAATATCTATAGACCACCCAAATACTGTGCAAGCTTTTTTGATGACTTTACTGAACTGCTGTCAATACTGTGTATTGACTTTGACCGTCTAGTTATTGTTGGTGATTTTAACATCCATGTTGACAACCCCCAGGACAGAGGGGCTAAAGAACTGTTTTGTGTTCTTGATAACTATGGACTGACTCAGCATGTGACGGAGCCCACGCACAATAAGGGGCACACTCTGGACTTAATTATCTCAAAGTGTCTGAATATCTCTAAGGTTGTGGTGACTGATGTTGCACTCTCTGATCATTCCTGTGTTTTCTTAGAGAGCTCTATTTCTGTTCACAAAAATGTTCAAAAAGAGGTAACCACAAAGCGATATTGAACTGAAAATACTAGGGAAATGTTTACTCAGAATTTTTCTTCCACACTTGCCCCTGCTAACATCTCAGTAAATGAGCTAGTAGATCATTTTAATTAAAAAATTAAAAAGATTATAGATGCCATTGCTTCAACTAAGGTAAAGGAAGTGACTGGCAAGAAAATATCTCCATGGAGAAAGGCCATGACCGTGAAAACAGAAAAAGTGTGTCGAAAAGCTGAACGTAGGTGGCGAAAAACAAATCTCCAGGTTAATTATGAAATCTATAAAGAGAGACTTGGCTTTTATAATTTGGAATTGAAAATTGCACGACAGTCTTTCTTCTCTGACATCATTGCCAAAAACAAAAACACCGTTGACAGAATAACAAACCCCCCAGTGTCAGTAGCCTCTGAATTTCTATCCACCAGGGCCGGCAATGAATTTGCCTCCTTCTTCACTGACACAATTCAGAACATTAGACAAGCAGTCAGTGCCTCTGCATCAGGTACAGCAAATGTTTTGTCCCTGTGTCCACCTAATATCAATTCAAACACCATGACACAATTCCATCAGATTAATGATAAAAACCTAGAGGACATTATACAACTTCTTAAATCCTCCTCCTTCTGCCTTGATATTATTCCAACAGGATTTTTCAAAAATGTTCTTCATTGCATGGCCTCAGATCTACTTCATATAGTAAACAAGTCTCTTTACTCAGGTGTTTTTCCACAGGCCCTGAAAACTGCAGTCATTAAACCGCTCTTAAAAAATAATAATCTTGATGCTTCAGTAATGAACAATTACAGGCCAATATCAAATCTGCCATTTCTAGGTAAAATCATTGAAAAAGTAGTTTTTCAACAGTTGAGTAATTTCTTGCATTTAAATAACTGTTTGGATGTGTTCCAGTCAGGCTTTGGACCAAACCACAGCACTGAGACTGCTCTCGCAAAGGTTTTCAATGACATCCACTTAAACACAGACAGTGGCAGAACCTCAGTGTTAGTATTATTAGATCTCAGCGCTGTGTTTGACACTGTTGACCACAACATATTACTAGACCGACTGGAAAACTGGGTGGGACTTTCGGCAACAGTTCTAAATTGGTTTGAATCCTACTTAAAGGACAGAAACAACTTTGTTTCTATAGGTAAATACACATCTGAGTTGACAAATATGACATGTGGGGTTCCTCAAGGCTCCATCTTGGGGCCTCTTCTCTTTAACTCTTCTCATGCTACTACAGGCTCAGATAATGAAAAACAACAAAATAAGTTACCATAGCTATGCGGATAACACCCACATTTACATAACCATTTCACCAGGAGACTATGCTCCAATTCTAACACTGAGTAAGTGCATTGAACAAATCAATGATTGGATGTGTCAGAACTTTCTCCAATTAAACAAAGGTAAAACTGAGGTAATGGTTTTTGGAGCCAAGGCAGAACGTATAAAAGTTAGCGCTGAGCTTCAGTCTGCAATGTTCAAAACAACAGATAAAGCCAGAAATCTAGGTGTAGTCATGGACTCTGACCTGAGTTTCAACAGTCACATTAAAACAGTTACTAAATCAGCCTACTATCACATAAAGAATATATCTAGGATAAAAAGACTAATGTCACAGCAGGATTTGGAAAAACGTGTCCATGCTTTTATCTTCAGTAGACTGGACTACTGTAATGGTGTCTTTACAGGTCTCACTAAAAAATCTATTAGAAAGCTGCAGCTAATTCAGAACGCCGCTGCTCGAGTCCTCACTGACACTAAGAAAGTGGATCACATCACTCCAGTTCTGAAGTCTTTACACTGGCTTCCTGTGTGTCAAATAATTGATTTAAAAAATACTGCTGCTGGTTTATAAAGCATTGAATGGTTTAGGCCCAAAATACACTTCTGACCTCCTGCTAAATTATGAACCATCCAGAACTCTCAGGTCATCAGGGACTGGTCAGCTTTCTGTCCCCAGCATTCAGTTATTATGCTCCAAATATCTGGAACAAACTACCAGAAACATGCAGGTCCGCTGCAACTCTTACTACTTTTAAATCCAGACTGAAGACATATCTTAAACTGCACTGTAACTTTTATTATCTTTGCTTTTTAATGTCTTTCCTTTTTGTAAAGCACTTTGAATTGCCCCCAAAGGTAGTTAAAGTCATTATTTGGGCTAAAGTCCCCTCGTAGGTGGTTAAAGTCCCATACGTGTGCCGTTTTGGTTTGAAGACCCTGGTTCGCGGAGGACACCAAAAAAGTCCTAGAAAAGACAACTTAAACTTAACTAATGTGCATTTAAAGAAAAGAGGAATAGTTTTGGCAAAAACTAAAAGGTACCATGGGGTCAGATTATAATTTTCCAAAGGGGGATTCGTTCAGATGTGTGTATCTCACACTGCACTGTAACTGTGATTCATGTATCTTTGCTTTTAAATGAGTGTTTTTAAATGCCATTTTATATCATTGCTTATAAATGAGTGTTTTTAGATATCATTTCATAATATGTTTCTTAAATACTATTATTGTCTTGCATTTTTGTAAAGCACTTTGAATTGCCTTGTGTTGAAATGTGCTATATAAATAAACTTGCCTTGCCTTGCCTAGAGATAGGACTACAAATCAGCATAGAATAAAAAAAAACTCAAATTAGCATTTTAAATTGCATTTAAGTACAGTACTTTCAATAAATATACTGAATTACTTTCCACTACTACCTTAACATCTAATATCTTAAAGTTAATTACCAGTCCAGCAGGGGGCAGTGGTTCGCGCAGGAAGCTTTAACCAAACACACGAAGAAGAAACCTGTACACGGAAGTCATCCAGGATTTGGATATTTTTTCACATGGATGAGATTTGCTATCCTTATTTAGACTTTCTAGGCATAGTTTTCTCCTTCCTCTAGTGGTAAGTCACACTGTAATGGCGGTAAAAGATGGAGCCGGCGGTGCAGAAACGCTGATAAGATAACGCGCAGCTATCAGCAGTAGACGGCGGATATCAGTGCGGGTCAATGGACTTGAAATGCTGCTGTTTTGACAGCTGGGTTCAGTCTCCAGTACCTGGTCTGCGAGACACCTGCTGAGGACACACACCTGCTGAGGACACACACCACCCGACGATTCAACCCTAAAGACGGGGTTACTTTATATAGAGACGCATATCTACTATCAGTAAAGTTGCTTTTAAAGCGCCATTGGAGAAGAGCCAACTGCGACTTCTCTTCTCAGCATTGTTTGCTCAGTGAGTATTACCTTATGGTATTACCCCATTTCCCCCCCTACATATCCTCAACTCCTGACTTTGCTCAGCTTACACTTAACCTAACATTTGACTTGGACTTTATCCTTTTACCTTTTTCTGTGTCCAGCCTCACACCGACCTGTGGCCATGGCCTCTACCCGGCTGAAGTACCTCTCTCTGGGCGTGCTGGTGTTCCAGACCACCTCCCTGGTGCTTACCATGCGGTACTCCCGCACCCTGCAGGCGGACGGCCCGCGGTACCTTGCCTCCTCCGCCGTAGTGGTGGCTGAGGTCATGAAGATCTTTACCTGTGTGCTGCTCGTCTTCAAAGAGCACAGTGAGTGAACGCCAACACAACGCACCAAACCACCTCCTCACTTGAGAATAAAGAAAGTATCACGATATTTCAAAAGGATTTTGAATCAACACAATGAAGAGTTTGATATATAGATAGATCATTAGTTGAGGTAACATAATGACTAAGTGGGTAAAGGCATGTAATAAAACAGCTGGAACAGTCTGGTAAATACAGAAAATAGCTAGATTTCAATAACAGAAATCTAAGACGGGGCATTTCCTTATATTTGATTTACACCTTTCCTACTGCAAAAAGCTATTTACTAAATAATGTTAAACCTGGAAGCCCCTCAGATCTGAAACCTAGACTGACATTGGATGTTATTCTACACAGGTACAGCTTTTTTTTTAAACAATACCATATAGCCATTGAACTACTATTACTTCAGAAATATATAGTGTTCTGCACTACAAACCACTTTTACTGCGAGTATATCGAAGTCAACAAAGTAAAAACTTTACTTACAACACACTGCTTTGTCATCTTTGCTTAAGTATGACAATTCAGACATGTAAAGATCTAAGATAGATCGATGAGAGTCAAAGGAAAAGGGTTAGAAATGGAGAGTTCAGAGGGATATAAATAGAAAGGAGAGTGTGTTAACTAAATGTTTAAGAACAGTATTGCTTTGATGTATATTTGTATTATTCTGTAAATAAAAAATGTCATACGTTTTTTAAATCATGATATTTTTGGATCTTTAGGTCCCTGTGAGATGGCACATTTCTTTTTTGGGTCTCAATCTGAAATAGTTTGACGTCCCTGATCGGTAATTGTTTTTCCTTTCTTTAGATTATAGCTTGCGAGCTCTGAACAGCATTCTGCGTCAGGAAATTGCCCACAAACCCATCGAGACGCTGAAGCTGGCGATTCCCTCGGGGATCTACACGCTGCAGAACAACCTGCTGTACGTCGCCCTGTCCAACCTTGACGCTGCCACTTACCAGGTACAGCCGGGCCGTCTGAGGAGGAGGTGTATCAAGACATAAATAACTCACAGCATGACTCAGTGTACCACACACAGGTGCTGATGTGCCTTTCTGAGACATTCAGCAATCAGCACATCCTTGTTGATGACAGGTTCCCCCCCGTTATCTCCATCAGGTGACGTATCAGCTGAAGATCCTCACCACGGCTCTGTTCTCCCGTGTCCATGCTGGGGGCCCGCAGGCTGGGCGTCTACCAGTGGCTCTCGCTGCTCATCCTCATGGCTGGAGTGGCTTTTGTGTGCAGGTCCAGTACAGCTTCTTCTACTTTTCCTTTACACCTTGTTGAAATTGGAAATCACAATATTCACCGTCATCCTCTCTGGTTTCTCCTAATGTTGAAATAACTGTAAGAACACATCCTATAAGTCTAGGAACATGTATTGTATGATCTAGGGCCCTTTTGTTCCAGAGTTATGATGCAGTCTAAGCTATTCATCCTCTAAAAGAGTTACTACTATACATTCAGTGTAATCATTATCCTCTTACATCCAAGGTTACCTAAATGTGGTTTTTATATCATTGTAACTCAATATATTTGCGATTGCGCTGTAAGACGTAGGGCTGCTCGATTATGGCAAAATCATAATCTCGATTATTTGGGTCCAATAATTGTAATTGCGATTATTCCATTGACTTTGAAACATCCATTTATTGGAGAAAAAATGTGAACAGTATGTTTTTAATAGTTGATTACCCTGAACTTTAAGTATATTCAACTGAGAAAAGAATAGTATAATAAAAAAATAATCATTTTATTTAGATTATGTTGTTTTCGTAATCGTTGCAAGCCGTAATCGCGATTTAAAATACGATTTTAATTGAGCAGCCCTAGTAAGATGTTTGAAGAGGTATCCTTGAGATCTGGATAGTTGCAGTGGGTATTTTTCTCTTTTCTCAGACTTTGGAAGGCTACTCGTGTTAAAAAAAAAAAAGTACTATGCGTTCCTCCAGCTTGAAATAGTTTTTAGTTCAATCTGGCCAGATGTAGATTTCACAAGGTCATTTACAGCATTATTCCTCTACTGCTGAAGGCTTTAGAGACAGCATGTCATAAATACCCTTTCCCATCTTAAGAAGAAAGAGATATAGCCAACTTTGTTTATTAAGCATTAACTCCCGCTCTGTAACTGGAAGTTTGCCTAGTTTGTGTTTTAATTAATTACAGCAAGCTCTTACTTCTTCTAGTGGCCTGATATAGAAATAAATCTCAGTGGGAGTTATGTGGTTATATAAAGGTTAGAAAAATAAACCTAATAAAGAGGCCTGAACTGGTCTCTGAATACATATTGGCCACTGCTCACTAATAATAATAATTAATTTATTTCTAATAGCGCTTTTCTTGAACCCAAAGACTACGAGGGGACGAGCTGGTGAATGTGTCAGTAAACAAGAGACTGTTGTGATATCTCGCCTCCGCTCCTTAGGGAAACAAAGACAATACCAGTCAGTTAGTATTTCACAGGATGTTATCTTACTGCTGACGTGGCAGAAAAATAGACAGTGTGGAGGAGGACATGAAGATACATCTTCAAAAATCGAAAGGATATGATTGGTTATTTACCACACCTCCTGAAGGCTCAGTGATCACACATGATGACACATGTCCTTTTGCACCTACAAAACAATAGACAAGCTTAAGGGATGGCATGCTAAGAAATAGTTGGCCTATCTTGATTTACAACATTTCCTTTTCACTTCATTTTCAAGGTTTATGTTGTTACTTCTCACTCAGCAGGGTTTGTTTTGGCGACTGGAGGGGGTAAAGAGGAGGCAGGCAAACAGCATCTTGTTCCAAAAGTTGTTAACATACTGAAAATATCTCTTTTTAAAGAATGGCTCTGACTTGTGTGGATATTTTGTGTTTTTATCCAAAGGAAAAGTGCAGTAGCTACAATATTTTTCTTACTACGCACAACAATAATCATCTTTTTTTTTGCACCCAATTTCCTGCTTACTGCAGCACATAATGCTCTGCAGCACTTTTACAACTTGGCAAAGCTGTGACGATGCATTTGTATGAAATTGAGTCCGGCTTCTAAGAGCGTTTTATTGTTCACCATTACAGAGGGTGCAGACCTTATTAAGTGCATGTGTGTAGACATTGAATTGGAACTTGGATACTTAGTCATTGGGCAATACAGGACATTTTTTATAGAAACTTCTTGCCTCAAGCAAAGTGAGAGAATTGATACCTCCCTCACAACTTCCATTTAAGTATAAATCTAGCTAGTATGCTACATTTTGTACTAACTGGAAGAAGGGGAAAACAGTTAGCATATTATTTTGTTGTTACTGCATATTTGTATTCTTTTATTAACTTCTGATCACTCTTAGCTCAGTATTATGCCCTTTTTATATATACTTTTTTTTTTACTTTTAAAGTCAGAATGTGTAGCATTTGTCTGGAGCAGTTCATAAACACACATTCTAACAAAACATCCCAAACCCTGTTAAATACAGGCAGAGTTCATGTCAAATGACTAAAGGGGATTATTTTTGTATTTGAGTCTAAAGGCTACATAATATTTGTAGGTAAATCCTACACATTCTGCCTATTAGTCAACCGTCTAGCTTTCCCAACGGATTTTAATTTTAATATGTCTGTTTTGGCAACTTAGCTATCCCATTTAAAAAAAACAATTAAATGTACCTTTGTTTCTAACTACCCTTTCAAAGGTCATAAGTGATCTCTTAGAATTGAGGTGTATTACAACCCGAGTGCTCCTCTTGTGTTTGCAGTGGCCCTCTGAGTCTGTGGTGGACCCCGAGAAGAAGGCCCTCTCTGCGGGCTCCCAGTTTGTCGGTGTGGCAGCCGTCCTGGTGGCCTGCTGCTCCAGTGGCTTCGCTGGGGTTTACTTTGAGAAGATCCTGAAGGAGAGCAAGCAGAGCGTCTGGGTGCGCAACATCCAGCTAGGTCAGTGTCCCTCCATCAGTCTGATCCATATACCAGCTGTTCTCACAGAGGAAATGTGTATGATGTTTAATCAATGCATGTCCATCAACAAAGGAACTCTGTAGTGAGATGTCGTTGAAAATACCGCTGTGTTTCTGAAGAGAGCTCTTGTGCGTTTCATTTCTTCCCCGCGCAGAAAGCCAGCTGAGCTTTTTACCTCCGATGTGTTTCTGTTAAGATGAATGTTCCTGTCTAGTTTATTTTTACCCTGGAGCGCGTGAGGCATGAGTTAAGTCTCCTGCGATTCCTGGTGTGAGCTTGGAGCTTTTTCACCTGCAATGAGGGTTGGAGCCAGGGCTCTCGACTAACTTTTTTCACCATCCTCCCGGAACCGTCCCGAAATACAATCTAAGCCGTCCCGAAATTAATGTGGACCGTCCCGAATATAAAATGTTACTTTTTCTACATTATCATTAGTTAAAATCATTCAAAGTGACCTTTAACATAAATAAAACATCATACAAATCATTAGATGATAATTCATCAACCTTTTTATTTGAGTAAATCATCATCAATCACATAAACAAGGCCAATATATTTAAACAAACACACACAACGAGAAAATTACTCTAATATTGAATCCAATCAAGTCCCATCCAATTAACAAAACAATCCAATACTGTCCTGAAGACAGAACCCAGAGTAACCACTAACCAGGATGACAGTCTGTAACAGTCAGGAGACCTTTACAAACGGCCCCGCCCCCTCGCACACAGACGGGAGAGAGATCTCGTCTGGATTGGAAAGCTCGAAAATACATCAAAGACGCATGTTGTAGTCTTATTGCATATTAGAAACGGGGTTGGCGAAACTAAAACTGCGATATAATGTGTATGTAGCAATAATACATGACATATATTTTTTAAATGTCTCCAGTACCGTTAAAAAGTCCGATAACGTCGGAGCTTAACGTTACCACCACTGTCTTTAATAATTCCGGCCCGTGGCCCGTTTAATACCGGGGCTCGGTACCCATCCCTACATGGGGAGAGGCGCATCATATTGCTAAGGACTAAATACGATGGAGGGTTCTCTTCTCAGCCTTATTACCCATAGGGGATGAAGAGGAGTAAGTAAATAAAGAGGCCGGCGCTCCAGGGTCTGGTTCTGCTGTGCGTTTTTGTGATGTAACGGTAAAACATTTCAGAATTCCTCAACGGGATGCCATTGTCATTGTACATCACTCAACCCGCGAAATACACACACTCACTCAGTACATAGCTAGACCCGCGAATTTGCAGGCCAGGAATTAACGCACAGCCAGCTGGGCGGCTGGCTGACAGCCAGCGGCACAGCTGTAGCTACATGTGTGTGTATTTCGCGGGTTGCTAAATGTTTTGTGCGTGTGTGTTTATGTTGACAAGGAGGTTTAATAACTGTGTGCTACACAAAACGTGCAGTCGGTTTCATTTTCATTTCCGTTTTGTGTAGAGTTAGCAGGGTATTTTTATTTTAACTCTCGTCCCAAATTCGTCCCAAAATTATTTTTTATCCTCCCCGACACTATTTTTTTCGACGACGGGACGTCCTTAAGCTCGAGCCCTGGTTGGAGCCTAGATCTGCAACGAGAGCAGGGAGGAAAGTGCTGTGTGGCTTGTTGTTTTTGTTGTTGTTAGTAAAAAGAGTGCTTCAAGAAAAATGATAAAGGACATGGGGAATAAATGCTAAAACTCTTGATTGAATACTTTTTATAATCCTATTGTTAAAGTCATTTGAGAAGTTAAATGCCAGCCATTTGTCTTATTTCATATGATTGTTAGTGGATATATTTGGGCTTTGGTGTGTTGTAAAGACAAATTAGGCAATATAAAGTAACCCTTGAAAGAGGTACCCTTACGGCCCATCCACACAGCGGCGTGCGTTGAAAGCTTCACTATTCACTTTGAATGGGGTGACGTCACTTTTTGCCGAACCTCATTGTGGGAAGCGAAGCGGAGCTTTGCTGGCGTGGCTCGCTGCAAAAGTTGAGCAATGTTCAACTTTTGAAGCCTCGGCAGAAGCGTCAGCCAATTGAATCATATGCCAGTACAAGCTCTAGCCAATCAAACCGCTGCTTGTGTGTCAGGGGCGGGAGATTCATGTGATTGGTTGTTGGTCGAGTTTCAGACACGCCCGCCGGCAAGCTTCAACGCACGCTGCTGTGTGGACGGGCCGTGAATATGAAGCTAGAGCCAGGAGACTGTTAAACCTTCTTTAGTATAAAGACAGAAAGTTGTTTGTTTAATCGGTACTCAACCAAAATGTTTGTTTTGGTTATGTGCTGAATATTCCTTGGCCAGGCGCAAGGACAAAACATTGACACATTTTAATTTGCTTGCAGGCTTTACTTGCATGCAGCCCTGTGTGCTATTCAAATACACAGCAATGTTGGATTTTCTTTCTCTTTGTTAAAGAGAGACAAAATTACTTTGATCATATTTTCCTTAACCGATTGTCGAACCTCAGATTGAGGAGGAACAATGCGGATTCCGTCCTGGTCATGGAACAACGGATCAGCTTTTTACTCTCGCAATGATCCTGGAGGGGGCTTGGGAGTACGCTTATCCGGTCTACATGTGTTTTGTAGACTTGGAGAAGCCGTATCACCGAGTTCCCAGGGAGTTACTGTGGGAGGTGCTGCGGGAGTATGGGGTGAGGGGGTCTCTACTCAGGGCCATCCAATCTCTGTACTCCCAAAGCGAGAGCTGTGTCCGGGTCCTCGGCAGTAAGTCGGACCCATTTCCGGTGAGGGTTGGCCTCCGCCAGGGCTGCGCTTTGTCACCAATCCTGTTTGTAATATACATGGATCGGATTTCGAGGCGTAGTCATGGGGGAGGGGGTCTGCAGTTCGGTGGACTAAGGATTGCACCACTGCTTTTTGCAGATGATGTGGGTTCTAATGGCTTCATCGGTCCTGCGACCTTCAGCACTCACTGGATCGGTTCGCAAACCGAGTGTGAAGCGGCTTGGGATGAGGATCAGCACCTCCAAATCTGAGGCCATGGTTCTCAGCAGGAACCGATGGACTGTCCACTCCAAGTAGGGAATGAGTCCTTACCCCCAAGGTGAAGGAGTTCAAGTATCTCGGGGTCTTGTTCTTGAGTGAGGGAACAATGGAGCGTGAGATGGGCCGGAGAATCGGAGCAGCGGGAGCGGTACTGGCAGTCGCTTTAACCGCACGTTGTGAACGAAAAGAGAGCTGAGCCAGAAGGCAAAGCTCTCTGTCTACCGGGCCATTTTCGTTCCTACCCTCACCCATGGTCATGAAGGATGGGTTCAATGACCGAAAGAACGAGATCGCGGATACAAGCGGCCGAGATGGGTTTTCTCCGCAGGGTGGCTGGTGATCTCCCTTAGGGATAAGGTGAGAAGTTCGGTCATCTGGGAGGGACTCGGAGTTGAGCCGCTCCTCCTTCGGGTCGAAAGGAGCCAGTTGAGGTGGTTCGGGCACCTAGTTAGGATGCCACCTGGGTGCCTTCCTAGGGAGGTGTTCCAGGCACGTCCAGCTGGGAAGAGACCAAGGGGTAGACCTAGGACCAGGTGGAGGGATTATATCTCTTCGCTGGTCTGGGAGCGCCTTGGGATCCCCCAGTCAGAGCTGGTTGATGTCGCCAGGGAAAAGAAAGTTTGGGGCTCTCTGCTGGAACTGCTACCCCCGTGACCCGACCACGGATAAGCGGGAGAAGATGGATGGATGGATGGATGGATATTTGCCTTAACTGTCACTGTATGCTCCTGAGAATAGTGCATGAAAACAGATCATTTAGTTTGTAAAAGTCAGCGCACACAAAGGAAATAACCAATCAGACAGAGCCAGGAGTAATTAACGGCAAACTGTCAAACCAGGCAGCGGTGATCCAATATGGATCTAGATAGGAGTTTTTGATTTGATTTTGTCTTCATTTGGGGGGAAAACCTCTAATATTGTTGGGATAAAGGGACAGTTTCAGCCAATGAAAAAACATGACCTTCCCTATCCTTTGGCCATATTGTAATAGTATTATTCTGATGACTTCGGGATGATATCTTTAGACAGATCTTCAGCTCACTTAATTATGTTTGTGTGTGTTTTCCAGGGATGTTCGGCCTGGTGTTTGGCCTCTTTGGGATGATGGCCTACGATGGAGAGAGGGTGAGGGAGTCGGGGATGTTCCAGGGATACAACACCGTCACCTGGGCCGTTGTAGTGCTGCAGGTAACGCTCACGATATGTTTTCCCTCACCAAACTGTCAGATCTAACATCCAGCCTCTGGGGTAACACACTCTTCTTTTCATGGATCAGAGGCCCTCTCGGCCCGCTCATGCTTTCGTCCATCTGCGTCCGTGTGTTTGTTTTTTCTCCAGGCGCTGGGTGGTCTGGTCATAGCAGCGGTCATCAAGTACGCAGACAATATCCTGAAGGGCTTCGCCACATCGCTCTCCATCATCCTGTCAACGCTTATATCCTACTTCTGGCTACAGGACTTCGAGCCCACTGGGTAAAGGAAGCACCCACTCATTTTCTTTCTTCCTTCTCTGTTTGACAAATCACCTCTGGCTGGCAGACAACTCACAGCTCCATCGTTTCTTTTATGTCGCTTCGATAACTGGACACTTTTACATTCAAAATCATAATTCGTCCATCTGTATATCAATTCTTCACACTGTGCATTGATATTTAATTGAATAGGCTATTTCTTGCACACTCAATGTTAATAATATACTGCTTTTTTATTTGGGTTAGCTGTAATTGGCCCCTCATGGTGTATATTTGACAGATAGCCTTCAGATATTTATCTTTCACTGTCATTAATTATATATCTTAGTTTTTAAGTTCGGTTTTATTTTCTATTCTGAGATGTTTATATTTCTTTTGTACTCCCTTTCATTATCACATTGTGTGCAATGCCTTGTTGACATGCTGCTGGGACAAAAGAAAATCCCAACTCTGGATCAATAAAGTACATCGAGCTGATGGTTTTGTCGTCCACAGCGTGTTCTTCGTGGGGGCCATGTTGGTCATCACGGCCACTTTCCTCTACGGCTACGAAGGAAAGCCGTCCCCCAACCCCAGCAGGGCGTAAAGACCCCCCCGGCTGACACTACAGCAGCAGCAGCATGAGGTCCTGTACAAGCGTCAAGACGTGGAGTTGAAAGGAGGACAGAGAGCTGGAGAAAAACGAAGGCAAAGGTCATTATCATTATAGTGTGATCACAAAGAGGAGGAGGAGGTAAGACGTTCAGGACAAAAATAAGGGTACAAATAAAAAGCAAGCAAATCGCAGAGATGGGTCTCTCACCAAAAGTGCCTCAGCTGAGACGAAAACTGGGGAAACAGGATTGTATGTTTTTCTTTCCGCTGTAGAGACAATCCTGGCTGCCACACCTCTAGATCCGGAGAGGTATTCTTGGACCGACTGATTGTCTTCATAAAGTCACTGTCACTGTTACTGCCATATCTGAAACACCTATACACAACAGGATTACAGAGGCAGCCATGTAGACATTTCTCTTCAAAACCAAATGTTTTTTTAGACTTAGTGCAACTTTTAGCCCACATTGTCGGCTTGTTCCCCTCAGAGTTGCGGTATGTATTGCTCTGACAGTCTTTCTTGTTCCTCTTTGAGCTCTCAAAGCATATTTTAGGCCCCCTGAAATGAGCCTTCACAGCCATTGTTCCTTGCCCTGTCTCAACCTGTCTCCATTAACGCTCAACGCACCTTTACTATAACTAGTATTGCTTCCTAAATGTCTCCCATGTTACATTTTGTTCAGCTATTTTTGGAAACAGTTTTTGTTGCCAGGGAACATATAGTCTTCAGGATGTCTTTGATAGCATGTACGGTGACAGAGTTACTGTCTGCTGTGGTGCAGTTTACTCTGTTAAAGTCATCTGGGTGTATGAATAAAATGATACAGAAACTAATCAGAAATACTGTAACAGGGGTTATGGTTGGAAGATTTTGATTTTCTTTCAGTAAGAAGGACAGTTTGATTTGTATGTACAACTTGAAATTATGTTAATCATGGGCGTTAATAATCAGCACCATTTCAATTGTAATCTAAATGAAATGTCTGTTTAATTTACGAATGATTAGTTAGAAAGTTAAGACATTCCAAAGCCACTAATTATAAACATCCAGCTCTTTAAGTCCTGTGCTCTGAACAATATATGTATATTGTTAATTGTTGTTGCAAAGTAATCAAAGTTGACATGAGGCATTATTTATCATTCTTTTGGAATGATTTCTTTTCTTGATAAAGCGGGTATAATTAATAAGTTTATTATTTTGATTACTATTATTTGAATCTTTTATAAAAGAAAAATATGTTTCATTTAACTTTTCTGACTGTGTTATTGTGTTGAATTCACTGTGTATCTGCACTGAAACATACGGCCATCTACGGGGGCAAACGCGCTGCAACGAAAAACCCAAATGTGCCAGAACACATGCAAATGAAGAAACGTCTTGACCCACTTGACGACACATGCACAGCGTTTAGAAAATATTCAACAAACTGGCTAAACACCCGCAGCATTTACTTAAAGTGCTGCAAGAAGCTCAAAACACAACGGAAATGGGGACACTAAAAAGTGATGCACACAGCCACTCTCACAGAGCGGCGTGTTTCATAATTGTAGGTGTTTGGTCGGTATATTAGAAATGACTAGGTCTACTCCGATAACTAGCTAGCTTACTGCAGATTTGCAATAATATCGAAAGGAATCATGTGATCAAATTTTAAAAATAAGCTATTAAATCTTACATTTTAGGTTAGTTTCCATAGTGACCAGTTGGCCAACTTTATGATTTGTATTTTCAGTGTTTCGTTTATACAGCGCTTTTAGTAAACGCTGCGCATGTTTCGTCAAGTTGATGAAGATATCTCTATATTTGCATGTGTTTTGGCACATTTGTGTTTTTGTATTTGCATCGTTGTTGACTTTTCGGGACACACATCTTCAACAGTTCAATCAATCAGTCGACCTATGCTATATTGGACAACATATATTGTAGGGCCATACCTATACAACACGTGTTTTGCTTAAAATACCAAACGGATCATCCATTGTAGCCATGCCTCATACTGCTCATACCCCTCTTTTGCAGCCCTGTTAGAGAAACGGATTTCGGGTCCTTAGCTTGAAAGAAAAAAGAGGAGGCGGAGCTAATGCCTGATCAGAATTATACTGGAGATCAAGTTAAATTCTACTGTGATAAAACCGCATCCTGTTCTAAACCACATCAAGGATTATTTCTGAAACAGTATGGAGCTCGAATGCTTTTTCTCTTGCGGGTTTATCACAAGGTGTGTTCCTTATATTTCCTGCTCTACAGGCTCTGCAGGCTCTACAGGCTCTACAGGCTCTACAGTACAGGTTAGCTCTGAGTGTTAGTGATGCTTGCTAATGTAAACACAGACCATATTACATCCAAAACACGTCAGGCATTGTTTCTGATAGCAACTTTCGGTGGGTCCGCCGCCGATTTGACGTCATATCGGCAGCAAATCTGTATCCGCTCGTTGTACCCCCGTTTTTAAAAGATTTGGGTACGGAGGACAAGAGAAAGGGGTTTATTTTCTGACGCTGCGTGAGTTCCCTGACACACCGGCGGGGACACATATTTATGTATAAAAGACATCAAAAGTGCATTTCGCATGATAGGTCCCCTTTAAATTCTGCCATGCACTGCAGTAACACAATATCCTTGATATTCAATGTATCAGAGCGTTTTAGCATACTTGTCCCCCTGATTGCAGATTATTTTTCTCCCACAATCACAAGTCTACCTTGTCTAATTTAATACTTGGCACGTCGCCTCAGAACTGCAAAACTACATGACATGAATAAATTCACACTTTGATATTTTTGGCATTTGTTTTAATGAGTTTTAAAAACACTGCATGCAAAAGCCAGACAGTCTGAGGGAAAGGACTGTAACACGGCAGAGTTTCATGTCCTTCTTATTAAAACACCATTACCCAGCCATTTTACACCAATACCTTCATTAGACTCCAGTCAATACGCAGAACAAACACCGCTCAGTCCTCAGGCACATCTGTTAAAAGACATTCGAGGCCCTGATACACACAGACAGCACACTGTGTGGCCTCGTGGTCGAGTATAAATGTATTTTTTCACTAACATTTTATTCTAATTGGGGCAACATGTGAAAAAGGTTTCCGCTTTATTTCCCCCTATAAAAGCCTCAATCCTCTGATAGTCACAAACCTTCTTTTGATTCTCCAGTTAAAAGTGCTGCTCTAGATGTTTCCCTTGATTGTCTACATGGGCTCACTAACTGCTCCTGTGTCGTGGCTACAATAGGCATGTTGTTGAGTATGTGTGTGAAGGCTCGTTCGGTTTGCAGCAGGAGTGAAAAGCAGCAGCAGCATCGGTAAAATGTTATGGTTACATCCTCCTTCTCTCTTCATCTCTGTCTAATCGGGACCAGCTCAGCACTTCAGCTTGACCTGATTCACCGGCTCGCTGAGTGTGTACAAACTCAAAGACCTAGGCATGAATCTTCATAAAAACACTTTTTTAGAAAAGATCATAATGGCACAAGAAGATGTGTCAAACCAAACACTGCACAATCTTTAAAGAGTCTCTTCACCCAAATTGTAATAAAAAACACACATATCTTACTCCTGTCAGTATCGAGCCAAGTAGAAAGTGTCAGATTCTTAGATATATCTGTCACTGGGATTTCTGCCTTTACTCAATCCAATGGGGATGAATGGTTTGTCCCTTTTTGTGTCCAAGACTTAGACAAATTCCATTACAAAAATCAAAATCGTTTTCCTGAAGAAATAGTTCCTATGAACGCAAAGTCTGTGGATTGTTTAACTGGCTACCTCGAGGAGGAAAATATAGCCAATCTGGAAGTGCCAAATAATGCAAATGAGTTCATCGTATGGCCACTTAAGGTAAAAAAAAATGCGGTCTCCACGGCTAATTCAAGACAACTTTACTGGGGATTGGATTTCTATGCACCTTAAATGTTAAAATTATACCAAGGCTTAAGACTACATAGTCTTAAGCCTTGGTATAATTTTAACATTTAAGGTGCAGTGAGATAATCATTTCCCAGAGGATGAATTGTGATAACTTTGGTGATCAACCAAATGTTTGTACTAGCTCAAAAATCCCAAATCAAATTCTTCTTATACTTTACTTTAAGGCCGAGGTATCCCATCAAACTCAGCAGAACTTGGTGGACTAGGAGAATGGTAAACATACTTTCTAATGAGCATGTAAGCATTGCCAGGTTATAATTTAACTACAGTCTCAAAGGAGATGCTAGACTGTGGACTTGATTAGATCCAGTTTGTCCAAAGCTGTGATCACTAAAGAAAACTGAATTGAATTGATTGGGGAGCCACAAATCTCACTGACAGATATTTAAAAACTAGAACAAAAAAAATCCCAATAACCTGTAATTGTGTCATTCAAGTGACCTTATTCTATAATTAGTGTAAATACAGTTGACTGTAATATTTGCTTTTAAACAAGAAATACTGACTGGCTTAAGACGTAGGAGTAGCTTTGTTTGCCCTCTTGCAGCCACTCATGTGTACTACTCGGAAACATAAAGAAACCTTGCTTCTTCTCCTTAAATTGGATTAGTTGGGACATGGGAAAGACAATGTTTTACTGTAGAAGGCTGTCATCAACACAGGCATCACTGGCTTTCAGACGGCAGGGAGGGGGAGCTCTGCAGCTTGGATGAACTGGCCATTCATGATTGAAAAACATAAAATCCTGCTGCAGGGCTTCATTTAAGATTCCTCTCAATGCACATCTCGTGTGCATGTCATCGAAATCCAAAAGCTGCGATTTCTACATTTTCTGTGAAAAGAAAAGTAGCTCTGAGGATGTGTGTTGACAATCTTTAGTTTTTTAATCATCTTGAAATATGGCCATTCCTGTAGCATTATCACAAATGAGGCCCCTTTGTGTGTGTGTGTGTGTGTGTGTGTGTGTGTGTGTGTGTGTGTGTGTGTGTGTGTGTGTGTGTGTGTGTGTGTGTGTGTGTGTGTGTGTGTGTGTGTGTGTGTGTGTGTGTGGTGTGTGTGTGTGTGTGTGAGAGAGAATGTGTGTGAGTGAATGAGTGAATGAGTGAGGCAGTCTGGTGTGACAAAGCAGCAAGTCTGGACCCAACCCTGGGTGTCCATAATAGAAAACACACGACCACAAACACACACGCCTTTACATCCACACTCACACCATCTCTGAAAGCACATCATCCAGTTACATCTCGGGTGATATTTTAGTTTTCTCTGTCCGTGATGAATACACCGGCAGCAATGTATCACCGCTATCACCTTCCCTTACTCAGCACTTTACTCTACAGTACAGAGCAGGCCCGCATTATGCCATCATTAAGATGACAGGGTCTGTTTCTTTCTGGGCCTGAGTAGCTACAGGACAGGTTTTGCGTTACATCCCAGCATTAATGGCGGATTTTCAAAGTTAGCTTTGCTCAGTTGTTCTGGGTTTGATTACCAAACAGCACCAGAAGTGGAGACCAAATACTTTCTGGATCGTCAAAGGCAGCGGTGGGGAATTAAGGCAGTTGTCCCCTCGATATATTACACGCAAAAAAAACTGCAACTTCAAAGTTTCAGCCTTCTTATAGATCTTAATTTTGTCTGTTTTATCTATTTTTTTCTGATTATCCTGTTCACTCCCCTATGATCTGATGTAACGAACAACGAACCAATCAGATGCTCTCCAGGATCTACTTGGATGGTATAACAACCAGCGGAGGCCCTCTCCTTGGCCTCCACATCAGAACCTGGGCGTCGTTGGCGTTGGGCCTCCCCATGGCGTTCGGAGGGATGGGCTCCATGCGGTTCAGCACTCTCGGCTGGTCTTGGTGCACACGGCCCACCAGCCTGGCCCTGCAGCCCAGAGGCAGGCAGGGGTCCACCGCAATATCCACCCTCATCCTCCACTTGATGCTGTGGAGCAGGATCTTCTCTCTGGACGTGGTGTTGAGCGCCACTAGCCATGTGGTGAAGCTCTGGTCTCTTTTGATGTTAGTCAGTAAGGGCGTGTTGGATTCACTGACCGGCACAGCCCAGGTGACGCTGGGGTAAAAATTGTCATTCATGCTAACGATGAAGCGGGATGGCTTGGAGGTGGGGCCCACAATGGTGACCGTCTCCGTTGTGTTTCCGTACCAGGGGTAGCTCACGCCGTCAGAGTCGCTGATGGCCCTCACCAGACCCTCTCGCAGCTGAGGAAGCTCCCAGCTCGACCTGAGAGGAGACAGACAGAGAGGTTTCTGGGTAACTGTGTTTCTGGGCAATTGATTCTAATCTGTAATTAGTGTCTGTGTTGCTTAAACCTGATATCGTGTAAAGCACAGTGGAGCTGCTACATGAGACAACTGCAGGTACAGTGAGCTGCAACACAATATATGTCACCATGTTAAAGCAGTAAACAAAAGAGTCCAATGGAGGCGTTTAAGGCAGGGGGGAGTATGTGGGAGATTTGCAGACCATTTACATGCACGAAAACCTATATAACACACTACAGGAGAAAAAAAAAGCCTAATAGGGCCCACTTATTTTAAATGTAATTGTTTCATGTGTTTCTTTTGCACTATGTCTTAATGCTTCTAATGTTTTTTGTAAATCAATTTGAATTAGATGTTGTTTTAAAGGTGGTATAGACTTGCCTTTCGTTGCCTTGCATCACTGCAGCAAGGTTAGACTACTGCATTAACAGTTATACTATTATTTATTTGGTATTATCCGGCTAAAACACCAAGGGTCCAGCATCTGTAATGTATGGTATGTTGGAAAATGTAATGCTTCTTTGGGTTAAGGGCTCTTGTATTGCCAAATCATACATTATAAGGATGTTATCATAGGCTATCAGACATTTTAAAAGTTATTTTTACCCATTTTTGATACTGTGACTTAATCCTTGATAGAAAACTAGATGAATAAAATAATCGTTGGTGTGACAGCAGGAAACATGAGCAAGTCAATCGGGAAGCGATAGCAGCAACACTATTTTGTGTTGAGGTTGCTCTTCTTCGCTTGTGCACAAGGCTTTCTGGGATGTGTCTGAGGTGAAAGTTGTTCATTTTTATTTACAAGGGATGTGATGGAAGTAACACCATCATTTCAGAAAGGCTTTCAAATGATTTTCCAGACGCAGGCTTGCGGTAGCCTCCTCTAAATGCTATCTAGTGGTTCAGTGTGTCAGTGGATTATCATCATCTCTTTGTTGTGCCAAACTCTATCTGTCATCTGGTGCTCCCCTTTCATGACCAATCCTAAAACCACCCTAAAGCTCAATCTCTCACCCCTAAACCCACCAACGCAGCAGGATTAAACACCCCCTCACATATGCCCTCCAGATAATGTGTGTGTGTGTGTGTGTGTGTGTGTGTGTGTGTGTGTGGTGTGTGTGTGTGTGTGTGGGGGAGGACATGTCTCCATGGGCACAGTTTGAGTGTGTGTGTGAGCATCAACGTTGTTTAGCTTCTCTAATAGCAGCTTTTATATTTAGGTGCCAGAGTCACAGGAACAGAGTCTGTCGGTGGGCGTTTCAATAAAGGAGGCTGACAAGCAGAGTTAACCTGCTGGGTGCACAAATGCTCAGTGGTGTAAAGTAACTAAGTAGATTTACTCAAGTACTGTACAATTCTGAAGGACTTGTATTTTACTTGAGTATTTCAATATGTTGCTACTTTGTACTTCCACCCCACTGCAATTTTGAGGTAAATTGTGTACAATACATGTATTTCATGCATTTAGTTACTTTGCTGATTTGGATTAATAATGTGAAATATTAACAATTAATATATTTTATTTTACAAAGTGATTAAAACTATAGCTCTACTTTTACCAGCTTTGATAAACACATTAATGTATCAATAATTATATTAAAAACGTATAATATATATTATTCTGAAATGGATACATCTGCATAATGAGTACTTTTACTTATGGTACTCCAAGTATATTTTTATGCTTATCATTTTGTACTTTTGCAACATTTTGATTGCAGAACTAAATTGTAGCAGACACTGGTACTTACTTTTACTACAAGTACAGGATCTGAGTACTTTCTCGTCCTCTGCAAATGCTCCTCTAATGCAATTCAGCGTGTGTACACAGTGTACAAGCATGCACACCACACTCTGAAAACACGTCACAGGGATGCAATTGGCACATAGGTGATACAACAGTGTAAACTCACATGCCAACGTCTCCATAGGTGTTATAAAACTCCATCTGTGTGCACGCCTGGATCCAGCCCACCACCCATGTCTCATTGCGCGGAATGGGGGGCATCACAATCCTCGCCGAGGCTTTGAAATAGGGCGTCTTGTACCGGAGCACTATGGGGGAGTTCTCCTCGATGACAGTCGGGCAGTGGTCTATGGTGGCGGACAGGTCGTACACCACGATGTTCTCCCGTTTGATGCGAGACTTGTTACAGGCGATGCTCTGGATGCAGCCCATGGCGGTGCAGGTGAAGGTGAGGGTCAGGAGCAGCCAGGTGAGCCGGCCGGGCCTGATGGGGAACCGCGCTGCAGTCTGGGACTCGACCAGGATCAGCACTATGAGGCCGTGCATCAGATGAAACTGTAAGGCAAAGGTGGGTGCTACTACTACCTCACTGTAGGCCTGTATCAGAAAGGCTTCAGGGAGGTGGGTTCAATGCCCCTGTGCCTTGCTGATGTTTGGGCACATCAACGGGCTCCAGGGGCGCTGCTCCGTGGCTAAACCCGGTGTTCTGACCCCTCTGGAGCCGCAAGAGAAACACCCTAATGGAGTGGATTTTGACACATGTATGATTGTATCCTCTCCTTTTAAACTGTCTGCTTCTGCTCTCCTCGAGGATCCGACCCGTCTTCGCTCCTGCTTGAACCCCTGCCAGTAACCTTTGATCCTCTTCTTCCTGCCCCGAGCTGTCATGTCACAACAGGCGTTGGGGGACCTGCGGACACCGGAGCGCCGGCAGGGGGACCCGGTGGTCGGGTTGTTGATGCGGCACTCTGCATGAGATGCTGCTGCTGCCTATAACATGAGCAGCGGCGTTACTGTCCGTCATGCCTGTCGACTCGACGGGAGGGAAACCCGGTGAAACGAACACAATCTGGGAGTCCGAGCATCTGTGAGGCGGAAAAAACAGCTTCCTCTTGCAGGCGGGTCGTTCCCAATCAAAACGGGAGGGACAATGAGGTGCACATAAACCGGCTGTCAAAACATTGTTACAGACGGTGAAACAATGACATTATGGCTAAACAAATATCAGATGAACAGTGTCATAGTAACCGTATATGCCTCTCTTTCGGCATCCTTGTTCGTTGGAAGCTGCACGGCTATGTGTCGCTGTCCAGCCTGCTTGGTGCTGAAGATGCTGAATAGACCAATCAGCGCAGAGGGAGACTAGGCGTAGGAGTGTCTGCACAGTAGTATCTCTGCGACCCCTTTCCTCCATACTGCCATAATGCTTTCTAATCTTGTAAACACAAAGTACACAAAGCCCGGATAAACTGACAATGGATGGGTTGTGATTTTGTTTTAATAGGGAAGGAGTAACAGGTAGTGTTTGATTCATTTAAGACATGATTGTTGTCATCGTTAGATCTTTTGTTGTGCTTATTTGACATATGATTGTAAATACATCTCTTATTGTTAATGCATTTTTAGAATAAACCATAGAAAGAGATCGGGTTTCTGACTGTTTCGGGTTGATGGCTACAAGAGGCTTTTTGACCCCTTTCAAAATAAAACCGTCATAGTCTGGCCAAAAAAATACACTCGCTACATAGGGATTTGAATCCTTCATTCTGTCATAAGGGGGGAATAAGTAAGGAAATCTCAAGATAGTGAAAGCCTCAAAACAGCTGCTAAATAATACACGATCTTGTTTAGAGCCATAGCACACTCATTTTAATGTATGAGTTGCTACAACCAAATCATATTTAAAGAAGCAAAATAATTGAAAAAACAATGATCTTTAAATCTATAAGTATAGACATATTTTTCTATTTGTTTTCTATAATAACACTGCACTCTTAATGCCTATGTGAATACAGTGTTTTAGTTGTGACCTGGATACTTTTGCTCTCGGTTAATGGAGACAAACTGCAACAGGAAGAGCAAGAGGTTCAACAACATTTCGCCTCAAAGCTTAAATATCAAGTGACAATGTCACTAAAACAGATTTCCTCTTGCAAACAAACTCTACAGAAGGAGCCGTTGTCGAATGACAACTTTTATTTTGAAATTGAACTCTACACCACGCAGTGTCGTCATATCCGGGAGGCAGTGCATACAGGCTGCTGAATCACACACAGAAGTACAACATCGTCCCATTTTTATTAAATATAAACATGCCAATATAATAAACTGTTGGAACTCAGAGACAGTGCTTTCCGACAGCTTACCATGGTGAGTATTTCATATTGTATACAAAAGATACATGTTTGAGAGCCTCAAAAGTGACACACATGTGCTAAGCTAATCAGAGCTAATGGTAACTTGGCTAGTGTAGCTGAAGCAGACATAATAACAAAACCTCTACAAAATACACATTAATTACAAAACACTCACTTCTAAAACACTAACGTTATTCCAAATGATACCAAAAATATAACGTAAGATCTAGTAATACGATTTAGGCCCATCTTTAAGAAAGAAATCACATTTTTTGAGAGCTATAACTGTTCAAAGGACGACTCGTAGTTAAGTCCTTATTAATTCCCCCTGACTTTATAATTATAATTTAATAATTTAGTTTAAATTATTATTTCTACATGTTATCATTAATTATCAGACATACGAATAGGATGGTCGGTGGTGAATATTAGCATACAGGAAGTACAGTATTAGTATTGATTGAATGTACACTTGTTTCTTTATTTCATTTGTAATATTATTTCGTTTTTTCATGGCCCTTGTAAACCCACTGTTATCTCCTATTTTTTTCTTTACTACAGGGTATTTATTGTAACATCTTATTGTTTTATATTGTGCATGTTTCAGCTTCAGTAATGTGTTATCGTAAAGCAGTGTTTTCCAAAGGTGCTGTACAAATTAATTATTTATTATTATTATTAAGCTCTCATTTACTCTTTTAGTCTCCTTGATTAATTGTTCCCTAACACATTTATCTGTTTACCATCTTTCGTTTTGTTTGTTTAATAACTGGCTTTTGTTCTTGCAATTAAACAAATAAATAGAAAAAAATGCACAATAATATTGATTCAAGTAGTTGCAAACCTTTATAGATTAACTATAATTTATATAATACTTCAAATTGATTTAAGAGAAAACTAAATCATGATAACCAGCTTGCATGTATGTATATCCTGGGTATTCTCTCTACATGTTATTTGAACCCTCTTCCTCATGCCTTCCTCCCTGTAGGTCCCTACAGACTTTAAAGCCCTAATCCAGAGGTTTTACCAGCTTCAGTCGGAGCGGGTGGAGACGTATCAGCTCTTTGACGAGTATGTTTGAATCTGACCCACTATTATCATAGATTTCAGGCACATACAAAACAAATGAATTCCAATCTTCATTCACCTCTGCTTTTTTATTTAAAGGTAACCTATTATGCAAAATCCACTTCTTCATGTCTCTTCTACATCAACATGTGTCCCCTCTTCTTCATGTCTCTTCTACATCAACATGTGTCCCCTCTTCTCCATGTCTCTTCTACATCAACATGTGTCCCCTCTTCTTCATGTCTCTTCTACATCAACATGTGTCCCCTCTTCTCCATGTCTCTTTTACATCAACATGTGTCCCCTCTTCTTCATGTCTCTTCTACATCAACATGTGTCCCCTCTTCTCCATGTCTCTTCTACATCAACATGTGTCCCCTCTTCTTCATGTCTCTTCTACATCAACATGTGTCCCCTCTTCTTCACGTCTCTTCTACATCAACATGTGTCCCCTCTTCTTCACGTCTCTTCTACATCAACATGTGTCCCCTCTTCTTCATGTCTCTTCTACATCAACATGTGTCCCCTCTTCTTCCATGTCTCTTCTACATCAACATGTGTCCCCTCTTCTTCACGTCTCTTCTACATCAACATGTGTCCCCTCTTCTTCATGTCTCTTCTACATCAACATGTGTCCCCTCTTCTTCATGTCTCTTCTACATCAACATGTGTCCCCTCTTCTTCATGTCTCTTCTACATCAACATGTGTCCCCTCTTCTTCATGTCTCTTCTACATCAACATGTGTCCCCCTCTTCTTCACTGTCTCTTCTACATCAACATGTGTCCCCTCTTCTTCATGTCTCTTCTACATCAACATGTGTCCCCTCTTCTTCATGTCTCTTCTACATCAACATGTGTCCCCTCTTCTCATGTCTCTTCTACATCAACATGTGTCCCCTCTTCTCCATGTCTCTTCTACATCAACTGGTCCCTCTTCTCAATGTCTCTCTACATCAACATGTTTCCCCCTCTTCTCCAACGTCTCTTCTACATCAACATGTGTCCCCTCTTCTTCACGTCTCTTCTACATCAACATGTGTCCCCTCTTCTTCATGTCTCTTCTACATCACATGTGGTCCCCTCTCTTCATGTCTCTTCTACATCAACATGTGTCCCCCTCTTCTGTCACTGTCCTCTTCTACCTTCAACAATGTGTCCCCTCTTCTTCATGTCTCTTCTCACATCAACATGTGTCCCCTCTTCTTCCATGTCTCTTCTTACATCAACATGTGTCCCCTCTTCTCCATGTCTCTTCTACATCAACATGTGGCCCCTCTTCTTCATGTCTCCTCTACATCAACATGTGTCCCCTCTTCTCCATGTCTCTTCTACATCAACATGTGTCCCTCTTCTCCATGTCTCTCTACATCAACATGTGTCCCCTCTTCTCCATGTCTCTTCTACATCAACATGTGTCCCCTCTTCTCCACGTCTCTTCTACATCAACATGTGTCCCCTCTTCTCATGTCTCTTCTACATCAACATGTGTCCCCTCTTCTTCACGTCTCTTCTACATCAACATGTGTCCCCTCTTCTTCATGTCTCTTCTACATCAACATGTGTCCCCTCTTCTTCATGTCTCTTCTACATCAACATGTGTCCCCTCTTCTTCATGTCTCTTCTACATCAACATGTGTCCCTCTCTCTCTCTTCACTCTCTTCTACATCAACATGTGTCCCCTCTTCTTCATGTCTCTTCTACATCAACATGTGTCCCCTCTTCTTCATGTCTCTTCTACATCAACATGTGTCCCCTCTTCTCCATGTCTCTTCTACATCAACATGTGTCCCCTCTTCTTCATGTCCTCTACATCAACATGTGTCCCCTCTTTTCCATGTCTCTTCTACATCAACATGTGTCCCCTCTTCTCCATGTCTCTTCTACATCAACATGTGTCCCCTCTTCCCATGTCTCTTCTACATCAACATGTGTCCCCTCTTCTTCATGTCTCTTCTACATCAACCATGTGTCCCCTCTTCTTCACTGTCTCTTCTACATCAACATGTGTCCCCTCTTCTTCATGTCTCTTCTACATCAACATGTGTCCCCTCTTCTTCATGTCTCTTCTACATCAACATGTGTCCCCTCTTCCTTCATGTCTCCTTCTACATCAACATGTGTCCCCTCTTCTCCATGTCTCTTCTACATCAACATGTGTCCCCTCTTCTCCATGTCTCTTCTACATCAAACATGTGTCCCCTCTTCTCCATGTCTCTTCTACATCAACATGTGTCCCCTCTTCTTCACACGTCTCTTCTACATCAACATGTGTCCCCTCTTCTTCAGTCTCTTCTACATCAAACATGTGTCCCCTCTTCTTCCATGTCTCCTTCTACATCAAACATGTGTCCCCTCTTCTTCCATGTCTCTTCTACATCAACATGTGTCCCCTCTTCTTCCATGTCTCTTCTACATCAACATGTGTCCCCTCTTCTCCATGTCTCTTCTACATCAACATGTGTCCCCCTCTTCTTCATGTCTCTTCTACATCAACATGTGTCCCCTCTTCTTCCAGTCTCTTCTACATCAACATGTGTCCCCTCTTCTTCACGTCTCTTCTACATCAACATGTGTCCCCTTCTCATGTCTCTTCTACATCAACATGTGTCCCCTCTCTTCATGTCTCTTCTACATCAACATGTGTCCCCTCTTCTTCATGTCTCTCTACAATCAACATGTGTCCCCTCTTCTTCACTGTCTCTTCTACATCACATGTGTCCCCTCTTCTTCATGTCTCGTCTACATCAACATGTGTCCCCTCTTCTTCATGTCTCTTCTACATCAACATGTGTCCCCTCTTCTTCATGTCTCGTCTACATCAACATGTGTCCCCTCTTCTTCATGTCTCTTCTACATCACATGTGTCCCCTCTTCTTCATGTCTCTTCATTCTACATCAACATGTGTCCCCTCTTCTTCATGTCTCTTCTACATCAACATGTGTCCCCTCTTCTCCATGTCTCTTCTACATCAACTGTGTCCCCCTCTTCTTCATGTCTCTTCTAACTCAACATGTGTCCCCTCTTCTTCATGTCTCCTCTACATCAACATGTGTCCCCTCTTCTCCATGTCTCTTCTACATCAACATGTGTCCCCTCTTCTTCATGTCTCTTCTACATCAACATGTGTTCCCCTCTTCTCATGTCTCTTCTACATCAACATGTGTCCCTCTTCTTCATGTCTCTTCTACATCAACATGTGTCCCCTCTTCTTCCATGTCTCTTCTACATCAACATGTGTCCCCTCTTCTCCATGTCTCTTTACATCAACATGGTGTCCCTCTTCTTCACGTCTCTTCTACATCAATTGTCCCTCTCCGTCTCTTCTACATCACATGTGTCCCCTCTTCTTCACGTCTCTTCTACATCAACATGTGTCCCCTCTTCTTCACGTCTCTTCTACATCAACATGTGTCCCCTCTTCTTCATGTCTCTTCTACATCAACATGTGTCCCCTCTTCTTCATGTCTCTTCTACATCAACACGTGTCCCCTCTTCTCCATGTCTCTTCTACATCAGCATGTGTCCCCTCTTCTTCATGTCTCTTCTACATCAACATGTGTCCCCTCTTCTTCATGTCTCTTCTACATCAACATGTGTCCCCTCTTCTCCATGTCTCTTCTACATCCACCATGTGTCCCCTCTTCTTCATGTCTCTTCTACATCAACATGTGTCCCCTCTTCTTCATGTCTCTTCTACATCAACATGTGTCCCCTCTTCTTCACGTCTCTTCTACATCAACACGTGTCCCCTCTTCTCCATGTCTCTTCTACATCAGCATGTGTCCCCTCTTCTTCATTTCTCTTACATCAACATGTGTCCCTCTTCTTCATGTCTCTTCTACATCAACATGTTGTCCCCTCTTCTTCATGTCTCTTCTACATCAACATGTGTCCCCTCTTCTTCATGTCTCTTCTACATCCAACATGTGTCCCCTCTTCTTCATGGTCTCTTCTACATCAACATGTGTCCCCTCTTCTTCATGTCTCTTCTACATCAACATGTGTCCCCTCTTCTTCATGTCTCTTCTACATCAACATGTGTCCCCTCTTCTTCACTGTCTCTTCTACATCAACATGTGTCCCCTCTTCTTCACGTCTCTTCTACATCAACACGTGTCCCTCTTCTTCATGTCTCTTCTACATCACACGTGTCCCCGTCTTCTTCACGGTCTCTTCTACATCAACATGTGTCCCCTCTTCTTCCATGTCTCTTCTACATCAGCATGTGTCCCCTCTTCTCATGTCTCTTCTACATCAACATGTGTCCCCTCTTCTTCCATGTCTCTTCTACATCAACATGTGTCCCCTCTTCTTCCATGTCTCTTCTACATCAACATGTGTCCCATCTTCTTCATGTCTCTTCTACATCAACATGTGTCCCCTCTTCTCAGTCTCTTCTACATCAACATGTGTCCCTCTTCTTCATGTCTCTTCTACATCAACAATGTGTCCCCTCTTCTTCATGTCTCTTCTACATCAGCATGTGTCCCCTCTTCTTCATGTCTCTTCTACATCAACATGTGTCCCCTCTTCTTCATGTCTCTTCTACATCAACATGTGTCCCTCTTCTTCATGTCTCTTCTACATCAACATGTGTCCCCTCTTCTTCATGTCTCTTCTACATCAACATGTGTCCCCTCTTCTTCATGTCTCTTCTACATCAACATGTGTCCCCTCTTCTTCATGTCTCTTCTACATCAACATGTGTCCCCTCTGTGGAAAGAGACTCTGAAAGTTTCAGGAACAAAGATTCTCTCCCTTTTTGTCCTGATCCATTTATATAAAAACCTGTCTGAAAATGAGCTGATCAGATTTTGGCCACTTTGTGATGTCATAACCAGGGCTGCACATAACTGGTGCGCAGGTGGGCATGCGCACCCCCCGCCAAAAAAGGAGCACCGGATCATTTGAAAAACGGTGCATTTGCGCACCAACATTGAGAGAGAGAGAGAAAAGAGAGAAGAGAGAGATATTTGCGAGTTGCATTAGAACTGGTAAGATAGCAGGGTTTCCCACACATAGACTTTACTGCGGGCCGCCCAGGTATATTAACGGCCGCCAAAGTATAATTCGCGAGCCATTTAGGTTTCATTCTTTTAATCCGTCCGCGATCTGCGCTCCCTCGCTCTACGCTCCCTCGCTATCGCGTGAAGGGTCTGCTTTATGCGCTCCGCACAGTAACCCTGCTGCGAGGCTCCGGCGAACAGTTCATGAGCGTGCTCACTAGCGCACCCCCCCCCCCCCCCCCCCCCACCGTTCATAAAGTCAAGTACCCCTCAAAAGTTACGGTTTATTTCATTTTAAGGATGTGCACCAAGCAACATCTCCAGGTGCTCCTTTGAGAACCAGGGCAAAAAAGTTATGCCCCTGGTCATAACGATTTGTTGGCTTGTGTAACCATTAGCCAATCACCAACCAAGGTAACCACCCCCCCCCCCCCCTTATCACCTGAATCTCCTCCTTTGTGTTCTTTTTAACCAAATATCTCTCAGAGGGTCGTGGGGAGAGGCTCCTTATTTTCATCTAAAGTAACAGACAGAGAATCAGCACTTTGGAAACAGGGCTGAAACAGAGGGGATTATGGGATGCTGCAATGATCTGTTCGGTATTTGAACACTTCAGAGACATGTTTTGTATATATCTGAGACCTATAATATATTGATGAAAAACAGTATAATAGGAGACCTTTAATGTTTTCTTCCTGCCTTCCAGAGGACACGAGGCATACTTGAGGACGGGGCCTCATTATGACTTCGACCACTACAGGCAGCTGGTGCATGAGATCACTCTGGCCTTCAACGGCATCTCCAAAGAAGTGCTGGACATTAAGGAGAAGCTCCACAACGAGTTCGACCGGCCGGCCCTCTCTGAGCACATGGACAAGCTGCAGAGCAAAGAGAAGCAGAAACTTGAAATGGTTTGTAAACTCAATATATTAATAACCTCTGTGAAGTTTTCTGTATGTTTTGTTTGTCTGTCAGGGTTATGGAGAAACTGATGGCTGGATTTTAATAATTGAAGGGTTTGCCCATTATTCTTCACATATAGAAATGGCCTAAAATGCCCTTCTAGTTTATTAGGAGTTCCCGAAAAAAAGCAGTGTAATATAAGTATATAATGATACACTATGTCAGACCCGGCGGCAGACATACGTCTCTTGGCGGGCATTTGATTTACCAGGGCGGGCCCACCCCGAAACTTACATTTCCCGGGAAATCTGAATTGTCAATGGGGAGGGGGTGAGGGGGGCGCCCGTGAATTGTTGTTACGGAAACAGAGGGGGTTTAGGTTGCCATAAGGCTGTTGACGGTCTTATTATAGGCTTCATCCATTGGTTGGTTTTGTGGCACATTTGTAACGCTGTGCCAACTTGGGCAAGCACGCAGGCAAACTTGATGAGCGCACAAATTGTGGAGAGGTGGGGTGAGGTTGAGCGATGGAGAGAAAGGGAGAGAGAGAGATTGAGCGAGGCAGAGAGCGTGTACAGCGGTCTGCTTGCGCACAGAGCAGTTTGTGAGAGAGCCGGCTTGAGAGTCAATTTCTCTTCAAAATATAATTGATTGCCAGCCTCCCTTGTCCCTGGCTGGCTTGCTAACTCGTTGGTAACGTAGCTGATGTCTTCTAATGTGCCTGCATCTGGCGCTGAGTTGCCATATTCCTTTCAAGTGTATAAGTGTGAACCACTTCCTGATATCCATTGTTGCAGATAAATATAAATGATAATAGCCAAACTAACCTAGCAAGAGTAAAGTGACAGGCTGCTGTGCCGCATCTCACTCAAAAACCCACACGACTCAACCCAGCGAAAAACCCGTCTCGTGCGCAGCCTTTCATTCAGAATTTCATTCGGAATTTCATAGCAAAATAAAAAAATGATATTAAACTAATCTTTCAACATTTATAACAAAAATAAACATTAGGACAAAGCCCTACAAATAACAACAATAAACATAATAATAAAACAATTAAAATGTTGTATTCAGCCCTGGTTAAAACAGCGGCCCAAATCCTGGCCCCATGGGGCCCGCCCATGACACCGGGTCTGTACTATGTGTACTATGTTGTGGGGTGTTTGACTTAAACTGGGACCCAATCTTACTGTGCCATAAGAGTCTTACACTATTAGTTGTCAATTGAAACTTGTTGTCCTACATTTATAAGGTTAAATTGAAATAAATAGCAGATATTTAACAGCAGACACACAGACAAATACACACAACACGTCTTAGTGCAGATAAACGAAAAATACATGCAGATGGTTGAGAGGCAACTATGAGATACAATACATTTAAAGGACAGTAGTAATAGTTGTAATAATGACAATACTTTTCTCAACTTGCAGTTTGATGAATGTTATTAAATGTAATTTCATTAGATAGGTTTTTATTTTTTTTAATAAATAACAATATTACTGTATACAAATTATAACCTACTAAAAAATCTCAAACTCATTCAAAAAGTCACTTAACCTGCCAAAACTAATGTCTTTTCACACTTGAAATATACATCATGTAATGCCTCCTATTACAAGCACTTACGTTTGTGTAATTCCACTGTTTCACCACAAGGAGGCAGACTTCTTGTAAAATACATTTTATAATCTCTCTTTCTTGAATCATGTTTCCTCACGGTCATGTTAAGGATTCAGCTCAGGTTATTACATTTTTAAATTATAAACGTATGGAGGAAAACTACATTCTACTTCTGAAAGGGTTATCTGTGTGTGTGTGTGTGTGTGTGTGTGTGTGTGTGTGTGTGTGTGTGTGTGTGTGTGTGTGTGTGTGTGTGTGTGTGTGTGTGTGTGTGTGTGTGTGTGTGTGTGTGTGTGTGTGTGTGTGTGTGTGTGTGTGTGTGTGTGTGTGTGTGTGTGTGTGTGTGTGTGTGTGTCTCTTCATCTTCATGACCGTACAGAGAGGTGTTAAAATGTTACGCCTCGATGCGTCCTACAGTCTTGAGTGGTCCACATCTGGTCGTTCAGAGGTGATGTGTAGCACTTTTGTAAGAAGTTTTACACTCCTTCTATAATATTAACTCCACTTCCTTTCTGCCAGTAATGTCATAAAGCTCCTATTATCCCAGAGTTCCTCCCCCGCCTCCCCTCCGTCCTCCGCTGATGAATGGTTTGCATAAATCTTATCTGATGTGCCTTCTCAACAGACAGCCAAGCTGCAGCTGGCCAGGCAGCGGGCCCAGGATCACCCCGAGGACGAGGACTGTCAGGAACAGATTCAGGAGATCAAGCAGGAGTAAGAGCAGCCATTACCGCCGTCCGCTTGCTGCGACAGCCTCTGCTGACCCAGCCTCTCGCTCCCTATCAGCCTCCGCTCGGCTGCACAGGCGACCAGCCTTTGGTCGTAAACACGGCTATTACTTTGTTCTGAAAATCTTTGGGGACAATTTTTTCAGATAAAAAGAAAATGTGCATAATACACTAGTAACGTAGGTCTTCTATTTTAAACAACACTTTAAGACACATAGCATTGCTCTTCAATGATGCAAACCCGATTCAATAGCTGTGTGTTTTGCCACAGAGAGAGAATATAAGACTTGAAGTATTTTATAAACGCTATTATGCTTTTTGGGTTTTCCCTTTCCTGCAGGTTTGTGTGCATGTAAATGGTCTGCAAAGGCTAACTTCCCAAAATTCCCTCTCCCACACACAAAATACAAATATAAACCTGAACATTAGCATAATGTCCTTTTTACAGTTTCTGATCAGTGCATGCATGTTTTGGGTCATTTTAGAATCGATTGGTTAAGAGGGTCTAGTGCAGTGTCTATGCCCCCCTGCTGTAAAGCGGGAGCAATGTTTAGTTTTACATTTTCTACTCAGTCCCATTTCCAAATTGCACCACTAAGGTCCCCAGAAATACACCCACCAAGTTATAATCGACAAACTGATCTCAAAATGTTTCTCATGTGCAAATAATCCCTTCTTAAAGTGTTCTTATTTATAACATTTTAAACAGATTAAAACGTGGTACAGACAAAATTGACCTTTTCAAAAAGTGGTGTGAACGTTGTAAATGACCCCTATGGTTGTAAAACAAACTCAAATGTCTCTAACACAAATACTTATTTTCCAGAATCATCAAGAACAAAGAGGCTCTGAGTGAGATCATGCAGGACTTTAAGTATGACTCTGAGGAGTGTGATTGACAGGCGGCTCCCAGGGGGCGGGGCGACTGACGGATGCAACTTCCCTCCTCCTCCTCCTCGACTCCACCCTGCCGGCTGCTGCAGGCTCTGTGTGTTTCTATCTGGGCTCATGTGTTTGTGTTAATGCGGCCTCAGCAGAATAGGACCTTTGTAAATACTCTATAAGGTGAAAGAATTCCTGGAGGCTCATCCTATGTCGCCATCTTTGTTTACTTGATGAATTGTATTAATTTTTTTTAAATAAAAAAAGAGAAGTTTGACTTTTTAATGTTTTATACATTACATACATTATTTCAGAGGCACTATTGGTGCGTTACAAGAATATAACTTAGATGAAAAAACATTTAAATATGCAGTTGTAAAAATATAAACAGTAGGAAAATGTCTTCAAACAAATGGTGTACTACACAGGAGTATAAACATTTTACACAAAGTGATCCTTAATTCACAGGAATACAATGAAAACAGAAATATCCAAATGTAACTATATGAAAGGTTTGTGCTGCAACATTTTCATGGCTCGCCAATTGATGTCTAATTACGGACAGATTTGGTCGGCAGAAAAAGGGCAGCATCGTCTGACTTCAGTGATCCTCCACTCGGGCCCTTTAAACTGAAGTTAAGTCTGTCTGACAAACACTGCAGTATCACTCAGGCGGGGCCGATGACCCCTCACACAGCTGGGGCCCACACTGAGTTATCCCTCAGTGTTTCTTGATGCTGTTCTTGTATTAAAACTCCACAGTGGTGCTGAGCGGCGCTGCTATGAATTATCGTCTTGAAGAATCTGAAAAGACAAAAGCAGATGGTTCACAGTGTGATAATTCAACAGGAAAAACCATGTAATTTACAATGATCACGATTATTACTCTGTCTGGCTGCCACTTCTCTCCCCTCCCCTCTTTTTCCACATCTTTCTTTGCATCATCTTTCTTATTCTCGGCGTAGCGCCCCCTGCTACCTTTCTCTCAAGGTAATCAATGGGAAGCTGTCACGGTTAGTGAACAAAGACATTATTCAGGTGACAGCGTGTGCCCGGCAAAGCACAAAAACCTGCTGAGCTAATTGAGTCAGGTAGAGTGAGGGATTCTGTGAGTTCAAGGAAAGCAGAGGATTTGGCTGAAGGATCTGAGCTCCTCACAAAGTCACAGAAGACGCTGCGGCTCTGCGTGCCATTTGTCCCGAGTTAGTTTTGTTGAAAGGGCTCCTCACGCAGAGAGAAAACACCACAGTCGGCCATTAAAAACATTTGTTTGCTTGTTTCTCTTTGTTGTGGTCATCAGATGAAGATCAAGAGTTGCTCGTTAAAATATGAAATAAAACCAGAGTGCATCTACTTAAATCCTCCCATTTCTGGGCCTGTAAAGCCAAAACCGCACATTTCTACCTAATCATTCAACACATCCTCACTCCCAGGTCGGCCTATGTTGACGTTATGTCAAGTCCTGTGTCGGCTTTTTCCAACGCAAGGGGGGGGGGGGCCTTAGCGTCCATTTTCAACGCAAGGGGGGGGGGCCCTTAGCGTCCATTTTCAGCTTTCCGGGATGTCCATATGCTTCTATGGACGCTCATGGAAGCACGGCATTCGTTTGTGTCGGCTGCCCTTAAAGGCAATGTGAGCGTCCATTCTCATTGGATAACGGAGAATTGTACACCCGGAAGTAAGTATTCCCCTTACTGTCGATTGATTTTACAGTGTTATCTGCACTACTCATCGACTAAAAAACACCAGATTATCCTTGTTAATTACACAACATTGATTGGTTTAAATTGTGTGCAATGCTTTTGTATTTTTCCCCTTCGATTCGGAGAAACAAATATTTTTTCGGAGTAAAGGATGGCAGAAGACACTACACTACCCAGAATCCCCAGCTATCGTTTGGACTACACCATGTGCTCTGTTTGACAAACCCCGTGATAGTCCTCAAGCTCTGTGATTGGAGAGTGTGCTCCGAGGGTTACGCCGAGCCTCGAACGGCAGAATGTCCAAAACTGGATTTGAACGGGACCACCGCGTCCCCCCCCCCTCCCCCATCTTGAAATCTTGAAAGGGATGTGCAAAATAGTCATTATATACAGTCTTTAATTAACTATTAGTAGAGAATAACGAGTAATGAATATACTTTATAGGGATCCTATTAATATCTAATAATACAAATAATGAAATTCAATAACATGCTTTAACCACTAGGTGTCCCTTTATATCAGCTGTGCACCTTTATGGTGTAAATACAGCATATCTACCAATTGGATCAAATATAAAAGTCAGCCGAATTAGTGTTGATACTGCAACGAGACGTATTGTGTGAAAATAAATGTAAGATGTTGTTTAATGGCTGATATATTTATGATCCACGTCACGTTTTCAGTTCCTCATGTTTGTCTAGAAGTCTTCTCATCAGGGCTCTATAAATACAGAACTACGGCAGATATGTAATATTTAATGCAGCCGAACCGTGTATTACAATGCCGTTATGTGATGACTTTCAAAGAGAAAAGCAAGCACACTCGGAATAAAGTATTATTTTATTTTTTTTAAATGTTTTCGGTCTGTTTCCGGTATTTGTTAATGACGATGTGCTGTGAGATGTGAGACTGGAATTGCACAGGGGAAAATAACGTATCTTTAGATGCGGAGTTTGCGCTGTGGACCAACACTATACATTGACGGGGAAGGGGGTAGCAATAAAGATAACACCATTAAACAGTTACACAACATAACATAATTAATATCGATAGCAGCGTCCCTAGCAACCACCTTGGTAACAATGAAAACTTCCTGAAGTAATCTTCGTAATAACTAGCAAACTAAAGATCATGTACATCCACTGCACACATAATATGAAATAACAACTCATATTTCTCGCATCAAATGACATCAAAACGCATTTTAATGGCCAAACTAACTTTAAAATAGGCATTTTACACCGAGAATAAAACGAAGTTCGGCCATGTTTTTTTTTCTGCAGGGAGAAATTTGAAGATCACGTGACGTCAAACAGAGCACATGGTGTAGTCCAAACGATAGCTGGGGATTCTGGGTAGTGTAGTGTCTTCTGCCATCCTTTACTCCGAAAAAATATTTGTTTCTCCGAATCGAAGGGGAAAAATACAAAAGCATTGAACACAATTTAAACCAATCAATGTTGTGTAATTAACAAGGATAATCTGGTGTTTTTTAGTCGATGAGTAGTGCAAATATCACTGTAAACTCAATCGACAGTAAGGGGAATACTTACTTCCGGGTGTACAATTCTCCGTTATCCAATGAGAATGGACGCTCACATTGCCTTTAAGGGCAGCCGACACAAACAAATACCGTGCTTCCATGAGCGTCCATAGAAGCATATGGACATCCCGGAAAGCTGAAAATGGACGCTAAGGGCCCCCCTCTTGCGTTGAAAATGGACGCTAAGGCCCCCCCCCCCTTGCGTTGGAAAAAGCCGACACAGGACTTGACATAACGTCAACATAGGCCGACCTGGGAGTGAGGATGTGTTGAATCATTAGGTTTGAAATGAAACTTCACAGAGACAGCACGTTTAACAGAAATCAGTCCTCTCTGTGTTGGTACAAATGTTGATCATAAGGCAGAAATTCAGGGTCTGAAATCCATTTCAAGACTGATTTAGAGCTTGGTAGAGCTGGTGGCCCATGTTCCCCTCGATCTCCCCCTTCTAAATTCATCTCAAATAAAGTCTACACCAGCCCAAAACATTGTGATGGCCTCTACCAAGAACGAAGGTCTGACTCTCAAGCCAGCAGGAGTTTCAGACAATAGCATCCTCTCTATCTCCCCCTTTCAACACTGTATCTCCAATAAAGCACTCTCATGCTGATCACATGGCAGCAATTAAGTTCATGAATTCAATGTGGGTGTAAATAATAGAGAGATAGTGAGGTTTTGCTTACCTACCTTGTTGCGTGTTTTGTGTGTTTTCTGCAGCCACACCCTCCACTGGTCGTACAGTTTGATTGACATGCCGCTGCAGCCGGACGCATGCTTGCGGACCCAGCCGAAGAACTGCTTGAGTTCCCGCCGCAGGGTGGAGTTCTGCTCACCGGGCTTCGGATCGCAGGAGCCGCTCTGCAGCCTCTCTGTTAAAGGAGGGGGGGATGGGGTGAGGCAGAGGAGAGAGTGCAAGGGATAAAAGGACGAGGTGAGAAAGAGGAGGGAGGATGAGAGAAGAGCGTCAAGGTTATAGTTAGGACAAGTGTCAGTGCAAGGTGTATAGATTATGCACCGACTGCAAACACTTCATGTGTCAGCATTAATGTGATCGAGATGTTTTTTTGGCCCTTTTTTCCCAACAAATATGATGTCATGCTGTTTACATTAACTAAAAAACACCAAATAAAAACCCATCTAAAAAACAAAAATATATATTTTTGCAAATACACTAATAACTTGATCTCCTGACACCTCATAGCACTACATTGCCATCTGTCAGATACTTTGGCTAACTGAAAAACTAATGACAGCTTTACTTACAAGTTGTCAAATGTTAGCATAGCTAGCTAACACCTAAGATGGTTTCTTGTTCTAATGCAGTATAAGTGGATAAAAGCATCAGCTAAATGTAATGTAATGATAAACATAAGCTTGTAAGCATTGTCATTTGGAGCATGTTAGCATTCTGAGGTTAGCATTAATCTTACAGGGACTTAGCATTGCTGTAGAACTATATTATACAGTCTACCCTATACTGTAGAGACTCTTGTTTGTTAGTATGCTGTAGAGTCTTCTCGATGTCAATCCTATAAATGTTTAGCCTATAAAATGGAAAACCAACATCGATCTCAACTCACCAGAGGTCATAGTTTTTAGTAGGACAGAAATAACACTTATGTAATTCCAGTCTCAAGCCTTGATATTATGCTCTGGCGTATTATTAAATAGGAATTTAATCAAGAAACCTAGCATGCCTCTCGCATCTCTGCTTGCTTCTGGTAAAAACTGTTGCCGAGTGAACATTTATGATTATTCATGTTGCTTGATTTAACAAAACGAGATGAAAACAGTTTCACATAAAAATGAATGTTTCTCAGTTTATAAAATGAGAATCTGTGATATACCCTACTTTTATTTCTCACTGACAGTCGTCTCCTACAATCAATGCCTAATGGCAAACAGCAGAGCCGGATAACGACTTGCTCCCTCTGGAGAGTAAATACTTCTTAAAACCTATGCAACTCATTATCTGCTCGCAAACCTGCTTCCACTCAAGCTTCATAGGCCCTGTGTGAGCCGGGACAGACAAGCAG